GAGAGAGAGAGAGAGAGAGAGAGAGAGAGAGAGAGAGAGAGAGAGCCCGTTGAAGGAGGGACAGGAAGGAGCCGCATATTTGAGGGAGCGCACATTTGAGGGGAAAAGGCGCAATATCAACAAGCGTATGATGAGGAAGATGGGTCGGAGGGAGAAGAAAGGGAGGGGGAGAGCCGGATAGCAGTTGACCTTTTTCGAAACGAGAAAGAGGGACAGGAAGGAGTTGTTGTACATTGGAAGGGGAGGGGCTGCCATGCGCATCAGGCGTATTAGGATAGATAAAGGGACGGGGGCAGGTGGGGGTGGGGGTGGGGGGGGGGGGGGGGGGGGGGAGGCGAAGAACTGTAAAGCTCACCCATGAACACCCTTAGGAGGGTATTACTTAAGGTAAGCCGGTTGCTGCTGTGCATTCTGTTTTTTTCCTGGTGGTTCTTTTTTTTAATTTTCTAACATGAATCGTTTTTCTTTTGGCATTCTTGGCTGCTTTTTGTTGTGCTGGCTTCAACTTTATTTCCACATTCCTTTGTGTTTGGAACTTTGGATTTCTCAACAGGCGGGGAAAGTTTTCGATTCTTTGATTTATATATCACAAAATGTTTCAGCGGTTCTGCTGACTGTGGAGGTACACAATCGTTTTCTGTTGTTTTTTTTTTTGTCGATACACAGACTTCGTTTACTGTTATTTCCACTTCCTGTAATGTAGGTGAAATCATGAAGTCATGGTACTCTTTTTCCCCAAGTTCTTCCATTGTAAGTTGTCGAAGCAGTCACGCCAACGCAGTCAAAGCAGTCAGTCCGTGCACTCTTCAAACTTGTCAGTCCTTGCAGTCATTCAAAGAAGTTAGTCAAGGCAGTCAGTGAACCCAATCTATCAGTCAAAGTTGTCGGTTCAAGAAACTCGGTGAAAGGCATCATCGAACCCGGTCAGAGAAACACACTCAGTCCACGTAGTCTAATGCACTCAGTTGTTACTCAATGCAATCAGTCCACGCAACCAGTCAAAGTTGTCGGTTCAAACTTGAACGTTGTTACTCAATGCAATCAGTCCACGTAGTCAAACGCACTCAGTCCACACAAACAGGGATTTCTTGTTCGTATGTGGACGAGATCAGTCCACGTTTATGTAGAAAAGCTTCTTTTGTTTTATCATTTTCTTTTCCCTTTCCCGGTAATTTCGTAATTACGATCCCCCTCTTTTTAATATCTATCATAGTCATGAAATACTGATTCTCATGTTATTTTGTAATGATAGTCTATTGTTATGATAACTATATTAATTTTGTCTTCCTCATTTCTGTATTTTATTCCCATTCACTTCTATTCCTATTTTGGAATATTGGCTTTCTTCATGATAAAAAAATAGAGGGTAACAAAATAAAACACAACTTCACAATGGCACGTTAGGAGTCGAGGCTGGGAGTGGCCTTCCTTGATGGGTGGAAGTGTTGTTTTTCTGTAGTTTTTTCCAATGCCTTGGGTTGAAGCAAAGTGGAACCTGCTCATCCATGGCTGCAGAATTTACCGTAATGGGCCTGATTTCACCGTGCATTGCGCTTGACCGTGCCCCTTACGTTGCACCTAGCACGCCCTTGCTACCATTGTCCTTCGGGACGCAGCATGTGCTTTAGCAGATTACAGGTATTGTGTCATATAACAATCTTGGGCGTCATTATTTGTTTGTACTCGTACGTGACAGCCGCTTGCCGCAGCTGCTTTGCACATTGTCTACACATATTATTTTTGTCTACGTTGTCTGCTGCTCACTGCTGCTGTTACTTTGGCTTCGGCTTTTGCTTCCACTTGGTGTACTGTTGTTGTGCACCCCATTGTAACCTCGGACACGTTAAATGCACAAGTCACTGAGAAAGGTTGAGGGACTGAGAAAGTTTGAGTCACTTGGGTGTACTGTTGTTGTGCACCTCATTGTAACCTCAGACAAGTGAAATGCACCAGTAGCCCGTGGTGGACCGAATGGATGTCGCGGGGAATCAAGACCAACAACCTGCTGAATACCACATATGTTCGCACCTAACAGAATCTGACCCATGAGGATCATTGGCCTCTCAGCCCCAGGGGAAGCCTACGGGACACCAATGTCAAGGTTGTCCCACCACCTCCAAAAACCCTGCTGCGGATCACAGTCCATCCAAAGGTGAGCAAGTGGCATCCTCGTACTTGCTTCATCCTTTCATCCACTGAAACGTGGGTTGTGCCAATTGCAAGCACAACCAAAGCCCCCCTGCCTGCTTCTGGTCTGGTACAGCCTGCAACAGCCTACAAGCCATTCCCCATGACTGCTTCGTCCATGCCTGCACCTCACCCGCCGAAACCACCCCCTCGTAGTCCACATGTGCTTCATTTCCTCATCCATGTCGGTTGGCATGAGCATAGACCTATAGATGACCTTTGCAGTCACCTGGCCATTCGCAGTTTCACAGTGCAAAGTGAGGAGGGAGGGAGAGAGGGAGGAGGAAGGCATGGAGGAAGAGGGACACGACATGGAGGAAGAGAGGGAGAAAGGGATGGTGAACCGCCGTGGCTTATTCAGAGGGAGAAAGGAGGGAGGGAGGGAGAAGGCACGGAGAGAGAGAGGGAAAAAGACATGGAGAACGACCATGGAACGACGTGTATTGGTAGTGATGGGCTAATGGGACGAATTGGAAGTGAGGGTTGGAAGTGAGAGGAACTTCCATAGCATAGGCTTATTGGGAGGGTTAAAAGGGGGGAGGGAGAGAGAAAGGTGCCATAGCACAGGCTTATTGAGAGGCATGAAGTACGGGTATGACATGTGAAGCTCGTCAGGTCAGCAATACGGGTATGACAAGTACGTCCTAATTGTGCATTCCTGTACTGTTTTGTTTTGTTTTTTCAAAGCAACGTTGGTATACGTAGTGTTGTAGTTAATGAATTTCTTTGTTGTTGATTGTTATTCACGCTTTTGTATTGTTATTTTCCTACACTATTTTCTTTTTTGTTGTTATTGTTTTTCATGTATTCACTATTGCCATTCGTAGTGCTGTAGTGCTTGAGTTTCTTTGTTTATTCCGTCCATATTGCTCATGAAGGTGTCGTTAACTCTCGCTTTCACCTGAATGTAGGGAGGTGGGGGGAGGACAAGGTAGGTGAAGAAGGAGAAGAGAGGGATGGAGGGAGGAGAAGAGAGGAAGGAAGGGAGAGGGTACGTAAGGAGGAAGATGGGATGGAGGGAGGGGAGGAGAAGGTAGGTAAGGAGGAAGAAGGGAGGTAGGGAAGGGGAAGGTAGATCAGACAGTCGCGGTTAGTGCTCTGCTCTTCCATTGTTAATCAAAGTGTTGCAGGTGTCCACATGTAAACGGGCAAGTGCAGCTAAGGTAAAGAGGTAATGATTTTTTTTGTTAAATCCATGTCACCTGCTTTGTTCCCATTTCTTCTATCTTAGGAACTTCACTTATGTATGTTTGTTGCTGCTTCTTCTTCCTGAGCGTTTGCCACTACTTTTCTGCAACAATATTATATGTGCTACGTGACCGTTGGTTTGTTATCTACTTTACGTTAGTTGTGGACGTTCTAATTGCCACTACATTTAATACATCATTCAATATAATATAATAGACTCTTGTTTATTTTTGAGATGTTTTCAATATAGCGTTGTGGACGTTCTCATTAATGTTCAATAAGGCATTGGCAAACATAGTTGCATGTTCAATAAGGCATCAATATGATATTCAAAGCCTCTATCTAGTTTGACATTATCTTCAACATAGCGTGGTGGTCCTCACACCTGCTTTGACTCTATGTGCAACATCAAGTCGTAGTCCAGGACTCCCTTCTACGACCTCATACTAGGAACTGGGACGCGAGACTTAGGACTGTGAGGAAGGGCCTCGGACCTGGGAGTGTGATTACGGACTCGGGTCTTGTAGAGGTGCATGGTTTGGCACTCTTACTTGGGACTTCGGACTTGGATTTGAGACTCACAACTTGGGACTGCGACCTGGGACCTGGGACTAGGGACTGGAACTCAGGACTGGGGACCTTCTACCTGGGATTGGAACATGGGACTAGGATCTCGTTCTTGGGACTAGGACCTGGGACATGGGATTTAGGATTCAGGATTGGTACCTAGAGGTGGGAGTTGGGACTGTGATATGAGACTCAGGTCTTGCATAGGTGCATCGTTTAGCACTTGAACTTCAGACTTGGGACTCAGGACTGTGACCTGAGACTCGGGAATGGGACCTGGGAGTTGGGATTAGGGATGAGAATCGCAACAGGGACCTTGCACTTCGGATTGGAACTCGGAACTAAAACTTAGGATTATGACTTAGAACAAGGGATTAGGACTAGGACTTAGGACTGGGACCGAGGACTTAGGACCCGAACAAGAGAAATGGGACTTTTTGTTCCACATATCACGACTGGGACTGTGAATCGGGACATGGACTCAGGACTGATAGCAGTTTTTAGGGACAGGAACTCGGACTGGGAAAGATGTTGTTTTTGTACCTCGTTGTTTCATTCTTTTTATTTTTTTAGTCCTCATCTCATTGCATGTCACTTCCGCTAGTACTTTTCTGGGTTTCAAAAAAGAGAAATGCCACTTTTTGTTGTGGTCTTTTTCATTCCCGTTGCTGTATCTCAGGTTGACGCCTTACATGGGTCACGTGTCCGGGATATGGGACAGGGGCTTGGAAATTGGGCTTCCAACTTTGACTTGGAACTTAGAGCTGGGAATGGGGGACCGATGACTGGGAGTTGCTATTCCAACTGCAGAAGTCACCGTTCGACGACAATTTGTGGCACACCGCGACTACCTTTGCTGGAGAGAGAGAGAGAGAGAGAGAAAGAGAGAGAGAGAAAGAGAGAGAGAGAGAGAGAGAGAGAGAGAGAGAA